CAGAGAGAGGCCTTTCCGGCTGAGCAAAGCCCACAAACCCTTGTGGACGCTCTGCAGAGGCTGGCAAGCGCTGCCAACAAGCGCAGCTGGGCTCCCGGACGTTCCTCTGCAGGCAGCAGCTGCTGGCTCCAGTTTGATCTATCGCATGTAAGACGACAGACGTGGGGAATCTAGGTAGTTTGAGAAACAATCTGAGGGGGCTGCTGCGTCTCAGGAGAGAGAAATTAAATGAGGAGGCATTACTAGAAGAAGGGGCCACAACAGCAGGATAGCTGGCCGAACCACGAAACTCCTAAGATTTAAACTGCTTTCGGAGCAGCACTCATTGTTTTCAACTCACTGCAACTATTTCTTGTGGCCCTACAAGCAAAAGGGGATGGATGGCAAGAGGGCTGGCTCAGCAGTGAGGTGGAACATGGGGCACTGGGCCATTACAGTGCGCTCTCTTTACTGAGACAGTTCAGCATACAGCATTAAAAGAGTTTCAACATAAAAAGGTTTCCTCACCCTCCCCTCAAAGTGAAGAAACAGCTATTGATTAGTTTTCTTCTGAGAGCATGCTTAGGGACTCTTAACAGAAATACATGCACGCGCATAGCACAGAACAGAAAAACACCATTCATTCTTGCACGGTCAAATAAGACTAGCACAGTGATTCTATCAATGTTGCTAGACAACAGATAATCGAAACTAAGTTATAGGTGTCAACACAAGTGAAGGGCAATTCATCACCTATTATGCTTCATTCTTTCTGCAGAACTCAAATCTCATTAGTGCAAATTTGTATGAATTCGAAGTTCATATTTTAATTGATTACAGATTTTAACCAGTATGCCCACAAAGGCCTTGAAATATTTATCTGAAATGATCACCTACAAATTAAGTACAAATACCAGACAGAAGAATGCCAGTACTACCAACTTCTCACCTTACAAAAGCCCACAACCTCTATAATTTAAAGGAGTAAAATAGTGTCCTCGTTACTGCATGTCAGTCACAGCAGGTTTCCATCTCTTGTTCTTCTATTCCATTGTGTCCTCCACCTTCGCTTCTCACCCACCTTCCTTATCCACATCCGAACAGTCTCAGCTCTCAGACTCAGAAACCACAGCAGGTCCGTTTAGGACTAGGAGCAAGGTAGACTTTCCTACCTCTCCAATTCATTTTCGTTAGATACAGATACATGGATCCAGACTCAGGCAAAGCAAATTCTAGCTCTCATTCCCGACATAACGGCAGACAAGGTACAGAAACAGCGAAGTTCAATATAACCTCTGCAACTACCCTGCTCACTCCTTCCTAAGCTCGCTCCTAATCTTACTATAAATCACAGCATTCCTCCAGGCTTCATAAGAAAAGCAACAGCTTCTATAGGTATTTTTCACTTTGAGAATAAAGTGAGCACAGATGATACTAAACACATTAATGTTTAAATTAAACATATGCTTTCTATTTTTAATCTTGTAAAAAAATATAAACAATTAACATCAACTTTGTACACCTGTGGTATACTCACTATACCTATGTCATAAAAGGCTGGTTCTGTCAATAGTATCAAAACAAAAACAGACAAGCTGCAGATAATACCATCAAACAGAAATTTCTATATACCAAATCCTTGTGTTTAAACTATCAGCCTCTGTAAGCAGTACTCAATATTTAATGCATCCATGGTATAAATAATGGCCTAACATCTTAATTTTAGCCTTTAAATGCTTAATCCTGTTATCTTCTCCCATTGTTCAGTTAAATTCTGTAACAAGTTTAACATGAGGATTTTGTTACTCTGTCTTGGATTCCCCTCACTACAAAGTAGCTCACCCACAACAAACACCCCGGCTAAAAAAGAATTTCCAAGTTGTTAGCTCCTGAATATAGAAAAGCAGAATTTCTCGAAAGTAGAATAGTCTGCTTAAAAAAAAAAAGGGGGGGGGGGAAACAAGAAAGCACATAGTCTTTCATACGTTAAAAAAAAATCCGTCTATTACAGGAGACTGAAAGAAACCTTTAAGCGACACGGGTAATCCACAATAGCAGAACAGCTTTCCATCATTTAACAGGGAAGACAGAAAAGGTTTGCGGGGGGGGAGGGGGTAGAGGAGGAAGGAATCTCTGTCACTACAGGCAAATCCACAACTAAAAACAGCACATAACAAGTCTTACTGTCTTAATCCTTTAGGCCTTTAAACTAGAAAAAGACAAAAATATACCTCAGCAATCTAATTTATATACAAGCTTATCTTTCTTCACTAATGATGGTTCATCAAGCCATTGCCACATAACAAATCTGCAAATTAAGAAAAAGAACAAAAAACCCTGTCATTGGTCTGCAGATAGCAATTTAACACAAAGACAGACAACTAGCCTAACTTAACTAATATGTGCTTTTAAAGAACCGAATGGACAAAAGGCCTTGGAGATGAGTCTTTGTATACACACTTACTTGTAATCTAAAAACTCATATACCTACACATATGTATCATTTTCTAGATTAAAAGATATTTCACCTATACAACCCTAACCTTTGCTGTATTGTTTTGAATACTCTTTCAGCAATCCTCCAGTCAAAAAAAATAGACAAAAAACATTTTATAATAAAATCCTGTTCATATCTAGCCAAAAAAACCCTTCATTTTTAACTTTAGATATTTAAAAATTTAAGTTCTCTAAATCTCATGCTGATTTACAGATATTAGAAAAGGGCCATTCAGTCAAGCAAATAATGTGTGCAAGTCTCCAGATAAAAAAACTACAAAAGACTGACTGCGTACTCTCTCTACTTTGCGTAAATCGGTAACTACGTACAAAATCTTGTATTATTCCTTCGACACGCACCAGTTTACATTTTCACAGAGAAGTACTCCCACAACGAATCCATGTGTTTAACAGATACACAGCCAAGTTAACAATAATAATAAAAAAAATCTGCTGCAGAGTTAATTGCAGTTAACTCTCCTGAATGAAAACTAAGCCTTTAAGACACACTTCAACCACTTATTTAGTTGGTATTTCCAAAAAAAAAAAAAAAGAAAAGAAAAGATGCCAGATTAATGTACATAAAAGCATCAGTGTCTAAGTAGAATATATTTTGCTAATATATGTAAAGCCTAGCGGACATTAAGTGGACTGGGCTGAAAGAAAGAGTGAAGCGAAACCAGGATCTCCACCTACTACATTCAAGCCTCTGCTCCTGCCTTCGATGGCACCTGTGCTGAGCCCCTGAACCTTCCCTTGACTCAGCTGGAAAGGGGTGGACAGCTTGCACTTTATAGCCTTCTCAGTGGCACCATACTTAAGAATATAAACCTTAGCAAAGGAGGTGGTCAAATACTTCTTTCCTAGTTCAGGAAGCTTTTCTCGAAGCACTGAACTATTTGTTAAGCCACTAATCTCTTTCTTTTCGACTATGGATGTCATGTTACTCTGTTACTAACTAAAGATAAAAACACAACCCCTCTATGCCCTCTCGCCCCCCAAATCCCCAGCCTAATACATTTGTGTATTTCTCTTCCAATTTTCTTTAACATTTTTAACCTAGACAAATGCCACCTACATGTGCAATGCCACCAACAATGCAGTTGGGGCAGCTACAACTGTAAGTGCTGGTTGTTACAACTCAGGAAAGAGATCTAGAGGTCACCGTTCTCCGAGATCATCAGCTTGACATGCAGCAGCAGGTAAGAAGCCAAGAAAGTGCTGGGCACCATCAGGAGGAGACCAAGACAAAAAGCATTATGCTGGTTTACAAAAATCACAAAGGCAGCAGATAAACTCAATGTGGTTTACCAAATCCCATAACAAAAGAACTAGGATGCTAAGAGATGAAGCTAAGAGAAGATGTGTTTAAAATAGCCAGAAGTACGTACTTATTTAACACCACGTGAAATTCTGGAACTTCCTTCTGCAAAGAGGGTATGAGGTTACAGAGGCCAAAAGTACTATCAAATTCAGACAAGGCTTGGACAAACTCACAGATAGCAGGTCCACAAATGGATGCTTCTGTTTAGAGGATTGTACCCTCTAATATCCCAAAACAACAGTTCTTGATGTTGGAGGAACAGGCTACAAAAAGTGGCCAAGGTACGTTCTCCCTAAAAGGCATTCTGTCTTTGATCATTGCAAAAGGAGATATGAGGCTAGATGAACCTGTATCTGATTTAGCAGGAAATTCTTATGCTCTTACAGAGCATGTGGAAAAAAGCTCAGACTCCAGAACACTTAGCTTCCTTGCAATGGATGTCAAACAAAGGGTGAGTAATTATAGAAGAAAACATATCTTGGTAACCTGACTCCTCTCCAACCAAGAGAACTGTTCTAAATAAAGAGACTGAAGTTATTCAAAACATGAAAATATGGTCTTGGAGCATCAAGCCACTTGTAGAAATTCCACATTTCATTTTTAAGATGTAACTGTCTACACAAAACTCTGGAGTACTACATCTCAAAATCTTCAAAGAGAGATCTATATATACAGAATCACAAAATAGCTGGGCTTGGAAGGGCCCTCTGGAGATCCTCTGGTCCAACTCCTACTCAAAATGGATCAACTACAGCAGGTTCCCTGGACAACATCCAGTCAGGTTTTGAATATCCACAAGGACGGAGACTCCATAACCTCTCTGGGCAATCTGTTCCAGTGCTCAGACATCCCTTACAGTGAAGAAGTGTTTTCTTCTGTTCAGCGTCTTTCCTGCACTCCATGTCTGTCCTGTAGTGGGAAGCTCAGACCTGGGCACAGCACGCCTGACGTGGCCTCACCCATGC